AAAAAGAATACAATAAATGTTGCATCCCTTGTATTTTCCCTTTAATAGTACTTGGAGATCTTTCTACAGCAGTGCACATAGATCTACCTCCTCCATTTTCAGGGCTACATAGTATTCCATTGTATGCAGGGATCATAGTTTATGTGACCAGTCTCCCCCTGCTGGGCACTTTGGTTGTTTCTAGTGTTTGCTATTATGAATGATGCTATAATAAACTCCCTTGTGCAAGCAACTTTGGTTATGTTGTTGTTGTTAGGTGCGGTTGAGTCGATTCCAACTCATAGCGACTCTATATACAACAGAAAGAAACACTGCCCAGTCCTGCACCATCCTCACAATCGTTGTTATGCTTGAGCCCATTGTCGCGGCCACTGTCAATCCATCTTGTTGAGGGTCTTCCTCTTTTTCACTGACCGTCTGCTTTACCAAGCATGATGTCCTTCTCCAGGGACTGATTCCTCCTGATAACATGTTCAAAGTATGTGAGACATAGTCTCGCCATGTTTGCTTCTAAGGATCATTCTGGTTGTACTTCTTTCAAGACAAATTTGTTCATTCTTTTGGAAGTCCATGGTATATTCAATATTCTTCGCCAATGCCACAATTCAAAGGCATCAATTTTTCTTTGGTCTTCTTTATTCATTGTCCAGCTTTTGCATGCACATAAGGTGAGGTAATAGCTACAGATAAACGTATAAGATAAATTTCTAGAAGGGTAACTGCTGGGTCAATTTCCCTTGCTGAAATTTTGATAAGCAGAGCCAAGTCACTTCCAAAGAGGCTGCTGCAACGGACACTTTAACCCGCAGCGTATGAGCGTGTCTGTGTCTCCATCCCTTCATCAGCTGAGTATTAGCAAACTTTACAGTCTATTAGGTAAGATTTTAAAAACAACAGTAATAATAATATGTTGTTGAGTGCCATCTAGTTGATTCTGATTCATAGTGACCCCATGTGACAGAGTAGAACAGCCCCATAGGATTTCTTGGCTGTAATCTTTACAGAAGCAGGTCACCAGGTCTTTCTCCTGTGGAGCCACTGGGTAGGTTAGAACCACCAACCATCGTGCCACCAGGCCTCAGAATAGTATTACATATTAAGTGGTCTCATCTGTAGGTGATGCTTACAATCACGCTGGCAAGTAGTATATTTCCCCTTTGAACAGAAGCCAGGGGATTGCAGTGAGTTAGACCAGGGTCTGCATACCACCTCTACTGTTTACTATCCCTGGGCAAGTTCCTTAAGCTTCTTTGTCTGCAAAATGGTGGTATTAAATGAAACATGGCATGAGGAAGCTCCTAGAACCAGAACCTGCTACCTACTAGAAGTTTATTATTAAGAAACAAGCCAGAGTGCCAGAATCCCTGGTAAATTTGAGGACGATTCTAGTAGTAACAGAGACCTGAGTTCTATTTCTTGCTCCTGTCCACAACCTCCTGTCAAGTCGTTTAATTTCTTGGAGACCCAGTTTTCTTATTTGTAAGGGGTCAATTTAGACACCACCTATTAATTTGCTCAGGGCCCTGGTGGCGCAGTGCTTAAGAACTCAGCTGCTAACCAAACGGTCAGCAGTTCGAATCCACCAGCCACTCCTTGGAAACCTATGAGGCAGTTCTACTCTGTCCTATAGGGTCAGAATCGACTAGATGGCAAAGGGTTTGGTTTTCTGGTTTTTTAATTTGCTGATCTGGATAAGTATGAGTGACAGAGCTGAGCCATGATGCAGGTGGCATGTTACATCCATTGGCAGATGCACGCATCACACGTCAAAAGCAGACAGGTCACTGTCACTGTGGTTGTGCAGCAAACCAACCTAATTACAGTTCTGCTTCTGCCCCTTAAAAGCCGGTGGCCTTGGGCAAGTTCTTATAGCTATCTGAGCCTCAGTTTCCTCCATGATAAAATGCTGATAACAGTACCTACCTCATGGGGTTACTGTGAGTATAAAGTAAGATAATCTATGAAAGTACTTAGCACCTGACTCGTTAAATGGTCAATATATTCATAAACCACCACAGCCTCATTGCCTGATCAGAGTTTTCCTGTGCGTCAAGAGGCACAGGAGGCTTCTTTGGAGTGGAACAAACACATGTTCCCAGCACTCACTTCCCCATTTGTCAAGTCGGTGACTCACACAGCCCTTCTCTCACTTCTGTAACTGTGAAGCGCACCCTAGGAGGGGGTGAGGGTGCAGGGCAGACAAATGCCAGGCTTTTAAATGGCTGCAGCCCCAGCTAGGGGTCTTCACACATTTTCATTCTTCCTGGAAAGAAGTGAGAAAACCTTAGTTAAAAACATCTTTTTCATGGGAACTGCTTCATACATTTGGTGTTTGACTTATAAAATGGATATGCGTGTTCACTATTACCTGGAAAACGTTTTGTGGGGATCTGAGATAGGACTTTAACTAGCTTTAGGTTTTTGCTGCAGTGTTCCCCACCCCCTCCGCATCTGCTTCTATTCACATTTCACTTCTTACATAACATGCAAGTATTAGGCTATAATCATGGAAATGGGATTCTGAAAAAACATCTTGTGAATAAATTTTCTCCAACTCTTTTTATTTTGAAAATTTCAGACTTGCAGGAAGGATACAAGAAGAGCTCAATGAATACCTAAATTCATCCATTGTTATTATTTTGTCATATATACTATATTAGTACATTATTTTTGATATGCAGAGAACTGCATGTGTATTATATATGTATATACGGAACACACATATATATGGAATA